CTTAAAGGTTTGAATAAGGCTTGTCCCACACTGATTTGGTGGGAAGTTTTGAATGGGTTTATAAGGCTTGGGTTTGGTACTTGGGGTGTGCCCCAAGGGGTACCCAAGTGTTTTAGAGGGAGAGGTTATGGGCAAAATGGGCTAGACCCATTGGATCCAAAAATCAACACGCGCGCGCGCGCCGCCGCCGTCCGTCCGTCCGGTCGGGCTGACTGGGCTGGGCTTGGGCTTGGGCTTGGGCGTGGTGTGTGGTTGGGTTGGGTTGGGCTTTTCTGTACATCCAAACAGGGCCCTTCCCGTTTTCAAACAGAATTAAACTGGTTTGGATTTATTGCTCATCCAAACAGAGCCCTTCTCGTTTTTTTTATCTGTTTGATTTATTAACCCAACAGATTCAAATCTGTTTAAATTTGAAACTAATAAGTTTCATACCTGTTCAATTCAAAACCAAGAGTCACCTTTACATCTATAAATAGACTAGCCTCCCATTTGGATTTCACTCCAATTTTCGTACTCCATCCTCTGCTTTAAATCTCTGCATTTTGCTGCATTTTATTTCTGAAAGAAAGAGTATAAACACTTAGTGTGTTCGTAAGACAAACAATTTGTAGTGCTGCTATTGTTTGTGGTAAGATCATTTCATCCTGGGACATAGACGTCCAAATTCTGAAAGCACCGTGAAGGGGACGAATCTATCTTAAAGACACAGTGTTAAACACTGGACTTGATCAGAAAAGTTATTCAAATAAATTAACCAAGTAAGTTGTTTAATTTTATTCTGTTTGTTATTTGTTTATTTAATCAGATTGTATTTTGTTTTTGTAACAAAATAAAATCTGTGGTTTTATTTATTTATTTTTATTTCGAGTTTGATTTTTGTAATCAAACAAATTCTCTCATTTTCTTTATTTCTTTATATTCTTGTTGTTATTTTGTACACAACAGAACTTAATCTTTTTAAATACAATTAAGATTATCCAACACAAATATCCAAAACTATATAAATAATGCCACATCATCACTAATGTATACATTAATTGATAAATATAATATTATTCTATTTTTTTTCCTCCACAGATTATTAAATTTTGGATTACAACATTACCTTAATGTTTTATTTAAGGACTGTTTCGCAAGTGAGTTTGTGGCTAAAATAGCTACAAAAGACAAAATAGACTATTTTAGCCATAACAAACAAAACATCACATCCAACCCCTAATCATTACACTCTTCTCTCACAAAAAAAGTAAAAAAAATCGAAAAGTCAAAAAATCATTCCCAAACCAAGCTTTTTAGTCTAAGCTAAAATAACTAAAAAGGCCAAAAAACTAAAAAACCAACCCACTTCCCAAACCGAGACTTAATTTCATTTTTAAAATCTATTTTTAGAAATAATAAAATTTATTTTGAGAAAAATAAACACCAAAATAATGTTTTTGAATTTTAAAAACTGTTTTTGCATTAAATAAAAAGGAAAAATAATTTAAATAATTTAAATTGTTTTAATTTTTTTTAAAATTTTTTCTACTAATTTCCATAATGAGGGCATTGAATAACCTCTCGTAATTATCATGGTTGTCAAAGTAAAAAATACATATATCATGGTTGTCTTTTAAACATTCAAAATAAATATAAAAGGCACATCAAATAAAAGATATCACATAATATTTACCTTCTGTATACTCAAATATTTCTCAACATGGGACTTCATATATATCATTACTTTTAAAAGCTTTATTGAATTACTATAATACCCTTCATCTTTCGTGGTGGGTAGTGGGGTGGGAAATGATGGGTGTGAAATGAATGGTTGGATTCAATACTCAACAATATCTTTGAATCAATGGATTATTATGATGCAAAAATGAAGTCCATCAAAGCAATGTCAATTATATACTGCACATTGTGCAAGTTATGTCACAATGTCATGTGGGATATATTAAATCAAAGTTGGACCAATTTTAATACCATTCAAAGTGTTCTTAGTTATGGATTATAATTGTGTTGATTATGTCCTAAATTGGTGATTTTTATTACAACTCAAAATGTTGTTAGAGTTACGATTCAAAATTGCATTTAATTATACCCCAAAATAATTTTCTTTTACAAACCAAAGTAGTGAAAGGAGAAACAGCCGTGCTTCCGACCCCCAACTAGGGGCACCCCCAGTAACCCCCCCAGTGCCACATGTCGGCCTGGGTTTGGCTAGAAAAAAATAAAATAAAATAACAAATTTTTTTTGGCCAATCACGGACGACCCCCAGCACCCCCACTGGGGGTCGAAGGATTTATTCTTTGTATCAACCGTGCTTCTAACCCCCAGCCAGGGGCACCTCCCAGTGCCACGTGTCGGCCTGGAATTGACTAGAGACAAAAGTGGTGACCATTTATAGTCTTTTTCTTTTCTTTTTTCTTTTTTCAAAAGTAAAATGAAAATATATCTATTACAATAAGTCTTATATCTAAAACTCTCTCGTCACATGTCCCGAGATTTATCTTCACCATACAATTGGAAGGAATGAGGGGAATAAGGGCCCATAGGAAATGAATGAGAAAATCAAAAATTGGGAGAAGAAAGGATTTCTTTGGTTAGAAGCACAAAATTAGCTAAACATTTATTTAAACAAATTTAAAACTGTGTATTACCAATTCTTCCTCTCTAGTTGAGAGACCAATCATTATTCAGATAGATAGGGTAAACCAATAAACTCAAATATTAATAAACTCTATAGAAGTTATCTAGTAACACTCTTACTGATCTATTAATAAGTAAATTTGAAACTCCCATCCTGTGCCACAATTAGGTTAGAAAGACTAATCTTGCAATACAAAATTATCGTCTTAAGATTGTATCTAATTGTAATATATGATTGAATTTTATGCACATAAAAAGAACTTATCCATTATCATTATCATCAGCTTTTTGGTTTGGCCATAAGGTATATATTTTAAAATTTAAAATAAAAAATAAAAAAGGTGTAAGTCCAAGATAGATATTCAAGTCTCGCTGGGAAAGCTGACTCCCACCCATTACCAGCGAACAATAAGCACATAAAAGGCTTTTCTTGAGTCTAGTATGTTGCATCCAAAAGTGTAATCTTTGTTTTCAAGTATAGTTTGTTGAGATAACCAAACTTCACTTTCCAGTTCATTCTCTTCTCCACAGAATGTGCTTGTTGTTAGAAGGTCCTCACTAATATTCAATTAAATTAAACAAAGGGCAACTAACTAAAAGTAAGAGGAAAAAGAGAAACAGAAAGATCATCATATGTTGGTTTGTTTTTTTTTTATTATTTATTTTAATTTATGGTTGGGGCAACCAGACAGGCATACCCATTAAATCATGAAAGCAATGCCGCACTCAAATTCCTTTTGGTGGCTTTGCACTTTCTGAACGACCAAACACATGATGAAGTGTGACCGATGAGTTCTTTCTGCTCTTTTTTTTTTTTTCCCTCCCCCACCCACGACCATCATATGATATACTTTAGACCTTGAATTCATGGCAATAAATAAAAATGGCCCTTTTGTTTTTCTTTCACAAATTTAAAAATCTAAGCATAACTCAATGTAGATCAATCATGAAAACTGTAAACTTATCACTGGATTGCTTTGATAATTTTTCAATTCATTCTTAGACCTTTACATGTATACATCATTCATAAAATAAAAATAAATAAATCAAGTCTAACCATACAAACATTGGCATCAGGCACCCTAGACCATTAAAATGGTGCCCAAGCCCAAGAAGCTTTTCCCTAAAGAGCCAACTCAAGCTGGCCCAAGCACTACCCAACAAACCTTGTCGAAATAGGCTTTTTCCTTAATTTTTTCCTATTCTTGGTCAGCCTCACAAGGTGGGTCGGCAATATGCCACTCATGGATCAATGGGCCTGGTTAAACTTCAACATGTCGAGCCAACCCAGCTGGATATAAGGTTGCACCTTCGGGGCCAAATGACAATCCTAAAACATGATTTAGCAAGAGGGCATACACCATTGCCATTAAAACATTTGGTCATGGATTCATGACCTAGTATGTCCAATTGTCTCAATTCCATGATTTTTTTTCTAACATAAAGGTACCTTTGAAGCATTTCCTAGCAACAAAACATGTCACATATCCTATTATTAGGCTAAACAATATATAGCATCAGTCCCCACTGATATGTACAAATCACACTAAGTAGCAGCCTTTCTCCAAGAAAGGCAAATAATTTTCCAAAGAATGCACTCTAAATCAGCAGTTTTGATAAAAACTTGATGTCCCAAAGCTGATCAATATTGAAATGATGCTAATTTAAGGATACAAATCTTTCAATGGACTTAACTCAACTAGCTATTTCTTGAGATAATACAACAAGAAAGAATCGAAAATTTAAGTTAAAAGATACAATGACCAGATGGTTTTCAAGAATGGTTTACTCAATGTCAAGTTTAAAATAATTTTAAGATTATTAAGATTGAACTTACTAGTTCTTTATCCTCAGCGAAGTGTTCATCCAATCCTCTTTTTGGACGACAATGGTGCAAGACTCTGGGGGAATTTTGTATCAGTAGTCGTGACAGGTTCATTATTTGAGACACCTTGGCTTGCTTTTGCTAACATACTTCCCAAAGCCATAGATACTGGAAATGCAACAGCATTCCCTACCTGTATATACCTGCAAATTGTATGAAAATAAACCAATATTAGACACCAAAAAGAAAATTTTAGTTTTTTACCAAACTTGAGTGGCTGGAATCTTATTTCCTACACCGATCTGATTTTCAACTTATTTCCCAAATCAGATTATTTTATGAAGTCATGTTTTCAAAACACTAATTCACACTCTAGCTTGGTATTTAAATAAAATAAAAAAACTCAGAAAAACTAGCACTCCCAAATCCATCAACTTACCAAAAAGACTTCAAAGTTGAGTAGTTGCAAATGAACTAAGCTGCTTGCAAGCTTGGCTCAGCTCATGACATGTATAAATGAGCCCACGTCAATTTTTTAGGTTCATTTAATAAAAAAATCTTAGCTTGAGCTAGAATAAGCTTGGCTCATAAGGTTAGGGTTGTTCATTATTTATTTAAATAATAAGATAGTTATTTATCTATTCAATAATATAAAATGTGTTATATAAACATATTTAATATAGAATAATATTTAACAAGCCAACCGAGCTTGATAATTGAGAGGAATTTTTTCATCATTATCGAGCTTCTATGCAAGCTCAAGCTGAATAACCGAGCTCAATCTTGATTTTCAATCTCAATAAACAAAAGAGCTGAGCTCAAGCCTTGCAAAGCTCAACTCGACTAGTTTGCAACCCAAGTTGTGAGAAAATGCCCAACAAAAATATTAGTGGAATTAGCACCACTAAGTTTTTTTTAAAAAAAATTCTAATTCAATTAAATAAAATTGCAAAAAAATCACAAGTCTTGCTACTGATACCTTTCTTTGACAGGTCCCCAAAGTCTGTACCAATCAGGGAACCCTTGTAACCGTGCATTTTCACGAACTGTCAACACCCGGTCTTGCTCCGGATGGAGAATAGCCTACCAAAATAATTTGAATGTGAAGTTAGTCAAGTTTTTGGTCAACATTATAACTACACTTTGCTCAAGAAGAGGATGTTAACTGTTAAAACCTGGTTATGAGGTTCTGCTCTTGTCACTACCGTTAATACAAATTCATCCCACCACAAGCGAGCAAACGGCCTGCATTTTAGCTTGTATTTAAAACAATTTGAAAATGAAGCAACATTTTAAAAGCTAGAACTTACAAGTATGGAAACAAAAGACATACTTGGATGAAGTACCACGGACGAATGTCATAGCATAATCTGGGACCTATATATTAAATTGGTTACAAAAAATTAGCCTGGTCTTGGACTTGGTCAGTGACAAGAAAAGAGTAATCAAACAAGAGTTTTAGCAATAATACAATACCAAAGGTTTTCCTGATTTGACTTTCACCCTTTCTACTGATCGGTCCCATTCGACCTTGTTGTTTGGGCCCACCAAAACACCAGGAAGATTCCTAAAGTTTGCTCCCTGTGAAAATATATGAGGAAGATTACTCAAGAATCATACAGAATCAATGACAACTTTGTGATGGTTCTGAGTCAGAACAACAAACAATTGAACCTTCTTTTTTGGAATATGACAAACTCTTTCGTAATCATCGTCATTCAATTGCAAAGGTATGTGATCATACAATATCATCTGTTGTGATTCTTTCTTTGCAGCAACTATAGAATGAAACATATCTACAAAGCAGAAATAATTATATATCAGAAACTTAATCCTTGCACAATGGTATCAATTCCTGAAGTTTGTAGCATTGTTCATAAAATATGCAGAAAATGGTATATAGAAGCATGCATGCAAATTCCAACTGAAAGGGACCTCTTGTAAGAGAGATTATAAACATTCTTGCAATTCATTTGCAACAAAAAAATTGCTTTAGAACATCTTATATACATCTTCATCTAACACCAAGTTAAGTATGAAAAATACATTTCTAGTCAAGGAAGCATTTATTATTTCAAGAGCATTTCTCTAAGAATAACCTATGCTAAATGGACTCGGCTACAAGTGTTGGGTGAAGGTATGCATGTATTAGATTCATCTAATCTCATATAATGAACACCAAGACATAGCTATATATCATACTTTTACTTTTTGAGGGCAAAATGAAGTTTAGAAATGCAAATATAATATTTTATAAAATGGAAGCCTTTTACATAGTTATCTAAAACACTAAGCTATTTTATACATTCTTTTTGGATGCATGTCCAACTGAGTAATCAAGTGTCCAACACGAGTACTTAAAAAAATTTGAAAAGTCATGTAACATGGAAAGAAATAAAAGTACCCAAGTTTGTAATTCAACAAGATATAAAAACTAGAAGAAAAAAAAATCATGTCAATCAATGCCATATTGTATTTAGTTTTTTACTATTCATGTTCATAGTTTCAACGTTGAATAAATATCTACATAAAAAAAAAATTTAACTCACCCGGCCTTCTCAATCTAATGTACTTCTGAAAATCGGTGCAAGGAGCATGACAATACACCATTTCATCTTGACTATCATAATTAGTAACCTAAAATAAGATGATACTGCATGTCAATGACAAGTGCATGTGGAATACATACTATTCAAGATTTATCACAATATATAATCAAAAATAATTTAAATAAAACATCTACCGCTGGTAACTCAGATATTGCATCAGAAAGTACAACACTCTTTTCCAACTTGCATGCTTGCCCTTTTTCATACCAGACAACAATTTCCTGCACTTAGAAGCATAATTATAACACAAAATCTAGAACATCCTCGTCAAATACTAAATAGAAACATCATTCGTACCTTGAATTCAACTGGACAAACCCCTTTCCCAACAAACTCGTGTGTAGGTAAAGGATATTGAGGCAACTTCTGAAACATGAAAAGAACCAATTACTAACATATATCTAATGAATATTGGCATTTTCTGTTAAGCCACCAATAGTCCATAAATCTTAAGTTGGTGGACCCAACAATATATGTCAAGCTATTCAACACCCTCCCTCACGTGCAACTTGTCTTGCACATGAAAATGCATATAGCAAAGAAAGAAATAATGCAATCGGGAACCAAATGCAATCGAAGAGACTTGACCCAAGACCACCTCCAACCTAAGCTCTAATACAATTGTCAAGTCACCGATTGTCCCAAAAACTCAAGTTGTTAGGAAATGGAAGCAATATTGTATATCAAACTATTCAATATTTTCATGTTAGAAAAGCACTTGCCTCCATTTGATATGCACCCCAAAGGAAGACTCGCATCCGACATTGAGGAACTCCAAATGACCCCGCAGCAAGTATTCCCAGTCGAGCTTGGTAGTCCATAGAAACTAACCGACCAACGGCATAACAACCCAAAACTCCTCCAGATAGTTTCAATATATCAACAACATTCTCCATTAAAACATACTTCGGCTTCAAAAATCCAACAATATTCATAAACACCTCAAGTTGATAGTTCTTTGGATCCTTCAAAGGGTCAATAAAATTTCTAAAACGATTGAAACCACTCATCCCTTGACATGGAGGGCCTCCACATATAAAATCAGCATCACCCTAAATAGACAATGAACGAAGTACTAAAAACAATTAAAAGGAATTTTAATGAGGAAAGGAAACAACTGAAAAGAAAGGGAAGGGAAAAACAATAAGCACTCACATCCAAAAAAATGAAAGGCACTAGCCACTCAAAACACATTAAGAAGATTCAAATAAATAAAACTTACTGGAAGAGGCAAAATCTTTGATTTAAACCCTCTTGTCACAAATTCCTTTATACTGTCAGTGCAATTACTGATGAAAAAATAAGAGGATTAAATTAAATTGCATATTTCATGGAAAACAACAAGAATGGCAAACTAAAATAGTTGGAAGACAAAAAATTGGTAAGACTAGCTACCTTAAACCATCAATCGGCTCCCAAGTGTCTTCACTAGGCCCATAGCCCCTCCAACGCACCTATATATTATCGATTTGGAAGAAAAAAATTGAAATTCATTGTATATTTTTCTTTTTTGGTTATAATATGACTTACTTATCCTAAAAAAAAAAAATTTGGAAGAAAAATAAGCTATCAATCAATGAATGCCATCCCTGCAAAGAAGAGTTTTCTACATCGGAAAAGTTAGGAATCATGAAAATTTTGTCATGAAAATGATCATGAAAAATTTATGATCCTTGGATTACCTTGATTAGTGTGTGGTGTTTTATTCTAAGTGTAATCCAAGGGTCACTAAGCTTTCATGATTATTTTCATGACAAAATTTTCATGATACCTGACATTGCTGTTTCTATATACATAGAGAAAAATCACCCACATATGCTTTAACCAATACCACTTCTAAGAAACTACTAGAAAAAAATTGAGCATTGGGCTTATTTTGTCGAATGTGCCAAGCCACTTTGGGCATTGAGCCTGTATGCCAAAGTCACATGGGATTGGACTTTTGGGCAAGGGCACATAAGGCCTTTGGGATTTGTCTAAGGGTACTGCCTCGATTAACCAAAGCTTTAATAAGCCTTTGAAGACTGATTGGGTCACATGCTCATAATTTGAATGCCCAAATAAGCTGATTAGTGAGTGGCTTGGGCATCATGGATCAAATTCAGAGTCATATGTTGAACGTCAAATATCAATGGGTCAGGTATTTCAAATAATGAACTGAAAGTCGAATGTTAATTGGGCTTGCATCTCAATACTAGTTTTGGCCCATTAACTCTTTAATAACCCAATATACCCCTTAAGACCCAATTACCGCATATGAAAGTATTTTATCAAGAGCAAACCATTTCCAAATGTTGTGTGCCCTTATAAAAATTAACCACATGTTGTGATATCATTTGATGCGACTTCTTGTTCCAAATGTGACACCAACACAAGTTCTTTTGGTATGAATTTCTATCAAACTACAAGACTATGAGGCATCAACACTACAAAACAAGTGTCATAGGAGTGTCGGACACAAGGACATGATGGGGACATGTATGGAACATGCCACGTGCCGTGTCCCTTTATTTAATTAATTTATTTTCAAGGGACAACGGGGACATGCCAATTAGTTTTCTTCCTTCTTTCCTTTAGATGTTGAGTGTTTATTACTGTTTGTTTAGATTTAAATACTTAATAGATCATCCAAAAAAAAAGATAAAAACTTTTTAAGTGTTAATATAACATGGTATCAAAACAAAAGTTAAAAGAGATCCTAGATTCAAGTCTCAATAAACAAACTAATCCAATCTCTTGTGAGATTAGAAAAGGTTAAGTTAAGCACACATTTAATAATTCCACTAGAACTTTGACGCTAAAGTCATATAGGATACCAAAATAAAATCGTAGTACGTGGTACATCAAACACCACTCAAGACATGAGTCTATGGTTGAAAATCTGATTGGGTACTGTTTCAGCTTCAATTGTTAAATATTAAAATACCTATTTAAAACATTTGAACTACAAAAGGTGACCAATTTGTTCATCAAAATAAGCATCTGTTTTGATCAATTAAGTTGGTGAGGCAACAAAATCCATGAAAGCAAGCAATCACATTGGAAGACATTCATAGGTCATTCTTGGTTAAAGTCTATATACCTTAAAATGCAGCCCATGTTTGTTGACACTGTTTGGGTCACCATAACAAATGGCCAGTAATTTTCCCACTTCGAACTCTCCAGAAGGAACCGTAGAGCCATCATCAACATCATCATCACTGTCCAAGCTGTTCTGTTCAGAATTGGAATCTTCTGATTGATGGGAACCCAACAATTGAAATTCTTTACAAAGCTTTTCCCACTCCTTAAGCAAAGATAGGAAATCTTCTGCTGCTTCATTTCTCACCTATAATCATTTTGGACTTGTCCTTGATAAATATATATATAAATTACTAATAAAAAAAGTATAGGAAAAGGAACAAATATACTACCTCAGTTTCAGGATGGTTCAACTTTAAACTTTCGCATGCATTAGAATTTATATCCACAGCCCACCGCTAATAAACAAATACAAATAAAACATATATAAGCTTTTGCATGGAAGAGTGCATACAAAAATCACATTTACAATCACTTCATGACTTACAGTAACCAGTTTCAAACCAGATACGGATGCTCCAAGGCAGAGACCAGTTGACATGGCTCCACATCCAGAGTATAAATCTAGTAAAGTCATCCGAGACTCTTGACATCTAGAAACTTGGGAAGACTTTGCAGCGTCAGTGTCTCCTAGTGCACTATTTGAACTAGCTTCACTTATTGAGGATGCATCACTATCCATCTTTAAATTTTCTGGATTTACTGAAGCAGACAACATCTATTAGAAGAATTCATTTTAAAAAATGATTGTAGTCCTTGGATAAACATACTAACCTGTAGCTGTATCTAGAGTTGTAAACGAAAAGTGTGGCAATGAATATGCCATATCATAATACAAGTCTGAAGACAAAAGTATTTTCTCTTTTTCAGCCAAGTCAACCTGTTTCACAGAGAAAACATTTCAGAAACTTGGAAAACAATAAACAGGAACAGAGTTTTAAAAAAACACACACACAAACAGAGACAAAAATAATAATAAGAATAAAAACGAACAGACAAAGATATCAGTAGCCAGAAGTAAGTGATGGTCATACTTTTGCTGCAAGTTGCACAATTTTCACTTTTGACACAATGGAATTCAATGGATTGTCATCTCTTATGTCTGAGTAAAACACTCGTCTTTTATCAATGAGGTCAGATTGGTTCTTAATTACCTGGAAACAACCAAATACATAATGATTGATTAGTGAATGAGGTATTTATCAAAAATACCTAAAACAGGAAGTGAGGTAATAAATTATCTCACCGTATCTTCAGCTCTAAAGAACCACCGAGCCGTAAAATATAGTTCTCTGTCAATCGTTTCAAACATCTCCACAATCTTGGCTATGTAATCAGGTTTTCCCTCTTCAGCCTAATAAACATACACAAAAATGAGAATTTGCATTTATTTCCAAAATAACAACTTATAGCTTATGATTATCCATTTATTAAGAATCAATAGCCAACTATAAAATTCATTATCAACATTGCAAGAGCATCTAGGCAACTAGTTTGTTAGTTAACAAGATGCAAGCAAAGAAATAGGCTAGAAAAAAGGAAAATTCCAAATATAATTCACAAAACAAACCGGGGAGAATGTATTGAAATTATTCCAGATACCAGTCAATTTCCTTACTTTAGGGTGTACACCATAAATTTGCCATTCATGAATTTTTACCACAAATTGTCATAACACGCCACAAACATTTGTAAGTTTCACCATAAAAAAAGCCATAACTTTCGTACAATTACAAATTTTTCTTACTATTGTAGCACCCGTCACCTTATTGAAGTGTGATTTTTTCATATTTCAAAATTTCTTTATTGCATTTTGTAAGATTTGTTAGTTGGTATGACATTTTTCTTTTAAATAACAACACTGTATATTTACATAAATGCATACACAAAATGCAAACTTAAAATTCATGAATTCACATAGTACTGAAAAATAACTAACATAAAACCAACAGATATATAATATAGGGAGAGATATAGAGAGAGAGCTCACTTGGACGTATGTATCATCACAAAGATTGAAAACGCAGCCATCAACCACAGCTTGAGTGTAGTGGCACCTAGCTTGCAGAACCTCCTTCTCGTTGGATTCAACACTACAATCGAATCAAAACACTCAAATACATCGAAATCTTCACACAACAACAACAACAAAAAACACTCACTTGTTCGATTCGGTAATTGAAACACCGAGCTTGACTTTTCTCTGCAAAACCAAAAATCAAAAAATAAAGCACAACAACAAAACAAAATGGAACTGTATTGGACAAAAAAACCAAATCTCTGTATATTTCGTTGTTGAGAGACCTTGGATTGGTAACGGTGCGGCCATCGGTCCCTGGCTTCCTCGGCTGGAACAGGTTTTCCGGCGAACCTTACGTCATCGTCTTCCGGCGATTTCTTCGTCTTCTTCGGTGACGGAGACGAGTTTGACAGTGACGGAATGTCCTCCTTGGACTCTCGCTTAACGCCTCTACCCATTTTCTCTCGATGGATTCCACAGGTAGAAAGCAGAACCGTTAGAGAGGGGAAGAAGAAGAAGAAGAGGAAGAGTTTCAGAGGGACAGACAGGCACCGACACACACAGACGTTGAGAGGCGCAAACTTATGGAAAGTGAAATATTTGAATTTTTTGACCCTTTTTTTTTATTAAGGCGGGAATATTCAATTTTTTTGAATTTGTTTTCGCTCAATCTTCCCATGAGCAATAATGTAAAATAAACATGTTATTTGACACTTTTATCTTCCTATCAGCAATAAATATTTTAATGTTAAAATAAACATCCTATTTGACATTTTTATGAAATTAATTACTTTAGTAATTTTTAAATTTTTTTCAAAATATATATATATATATATAATTAAAGAAGATGTTGTGCTAATTTGTAGTAATCTTTTTGACTAAAATTGACAATTGTCAAATAATTTTTTATATATATTTTTAATGGTTAAAACAAGTTTCTTTTGGAGAGTTAATTCTACTATTATATTACATGATGGAGATACCTAAACAAAGTCGTCCTGTAATAATATAATGAGTTATTTTAGGAATATGATTAAAAATAATTTTTTTGCTTTTAACTTATTTTCAGTCGTGCTATCTCTCTATTTTTTTACATCTTTTTTTTTAAATAATTAATTAATTTTTAACCAACTTTAAAAAACAGCCTAATAATATAGATAAACAAGCAATCCTTTTCTTGACAATATTTATCATTTCCTACTTGATAAGCCTCAGTGAAAGATAGGCATGACCCAAAAAAATGTTTATAGGCCATCCTGTGTTTGGTTGAAAATTTTAAAAAGAGATGTGGAAAGAAAAAATAAATAAAATGTGAAAAATATAATATATATATATATACATCACATAATTTTACACATTTTTTCTTTTTATTTTTCTGAATCCTTTTCAAAAAATTTCAATCAAACACAACGTAAAAGTTGATCACATATCATAGGCCATCTGACTACCTAGTTGTCACACACATTCGCCGCATGTCTTATAGAATACCCAACCATGTGTCATGTTCGGTGTAGCTTGACTGAGTTATGTACGTAGAGTAGAGGCTTCACAATAGCTCTTTAGTTTTGGATTTTTTATCAGCCGATCCCAATAATTGAATCTATTATCCATTAGGTTTTAAGTTTCTATCTCATGCACTAGGAAATCTTGTTATATATATTTTTTATCCCGATTTTGTCCCTGCTGTTTTACTGCTGAAGCCATTGATTGCCCCACTATAATGTTGGGAGGGAGGCGAAGGGGTCACGGCGTTGACGGTGGTGAGGAAGTTTGCGCCAAAGACTCAACAATCGAACGGTTGTTCGCCGGCCTTGGTGAACATAAGAACTGTCTTTGTGACCCTTGGATTTAAAAGAGATGGTGTTAGATCTAAAAGAGATCAAGAAAATCAACATGAATTGACAACGGTGTGTCGATATTGATGAGTTCAAAGCTCTGTATCAATTAATAATGGACGAACGAGACGAAAAAAAAGACATGAGAGAGGCGTTCAGGATGTTAGATTAGAATAGTAATGGGTTCCTCTAGGTATTTTCAATGCCAATCGGAACTCTTATTTTGTTTAAACTAGTGATAAATTTATCAGTAAATTTGTTAAAACCAGTGATAAATTTGTTTAAACTTGTGATAAATTTATCACTGTTAAATTTGTTAAAAAATTTACAAATAGCAAACTTGATTTGAAAGAGAAAGGGGAATCACAACAAATTTATCGTTGAATTAAGAAAAAAATTTATCAGATTAGTCACACGTCTGTAGAAGATCAACAACACCTTTCAATGCACTGATTGGATACTTTGCATCCCAAACTGGTAATGGAGGAAAATGGTGACAACGATGATGTCAAAGATTGTAGATTGATGATGAAGGATTGTGGTGTTAAAGCTAACAGATGAATGATGGGGAAGGAGTAGCGGTGATGGCAACCAAGGAGAAGGAGATAGTGGTTGATGAAACCAAACGAGCATATTAGACCATCTCCAACGCTTCAGCAAACGTGATATCAAATTCAAAATTTGATGAAAAAATCACTTTTTTGAGCTCCAACCGTTTCACCAAATCGATATCAAATCCAGAATTCAGCAAATCTTGTACCAAAATGAGAACAGGCGAAGCATTTTACCAAATCACTCTTCCTAACCGTTGGGAGAGACCAACTGGTCAACCAGCCGGTTGCCCGGCCGGTTGACCAACCGGTTGACCGCCTAAAGGTTCAAACGGTTCGAAGAAAAAGGTTCAAAAACAGAAAAAAAAAAAAAAAAATTTGCCTAACCGGTCGACCAGCCGGTCGACCACTAAAAGGTTCAAAAAGTTCAAAAAAAAAAAAAAAAATTTCGCTTAACCGGTCGACCAACCGGTTGTCCCTGGCACAAATTTGATGAAAGTGAACCATTGGAGCGAGTGGTATCAAATTGGTAAAATGAGTCATTTTTGACTCAAATTTGGTGAAAAATCTGAGTAACCGTTGGAGATGCTCTTAGTAATTTCAATTGAATATGAGATTTCACAGTTTTGATATTAAATTTCCTAAATTTGTACAATTTTAGGATGAAAATTATAATATTTGGGAAGTCTTGCCACATCTAGCCTACAAAAGAACTAATCAAAAGTTATTACACAACCCTGTAATAGACTCAGGATGCTAGATTAGGGAGGGCCAAACTAAACTTCTAACTCAAGCAACAATTCTGAGAAGTGAAGTTACAGGTTACAACATTGCTACTCCTATAGTTGCTCCATTCTTCTCAAGTGGTTCGGTTTCTCAGTTGAATATGCTAACTGAAGTCCAACCAGCAAAATAGTAACTTATGATCAATTCCCAGCAAACTTGACATGATTCTAACCAGTCAGCATACCAGATAAAACCTCCAGGAAAAACAAACAAATTAAAGTCTGTATTTTACTTCACTTTATCATCATTATCACTGTCAGTATAACTTGTAATCCTCCTCCTCACTCTCCATCAGGAGACTTATCATTGCATGAGTTCACAATGTGTAATTGCTAATAAATATTTGTTGCTAAAAGCTACCAAAAACAATAGAAACACAACCAATTCCGGAACAACAATCATCCAAACAAAATAGGTTTGGCCTGGTTTGCTTTGCCTGTTGAATGATGCACCAATTTGCAAAATGGTTTTTCTGCCACTAGATCCTTGAGCTGAACATGATCAATCTTCACAATGCGTGAGGCTGTGGATCAGGAGGAAACAAATTAACAAGAAACCGATGAATCATTTCAAAGCTGGTGAATGTAATTACAGCAGCTGGTGTAGTCCTGAGCAGGTTGGTGGCACACCCTCGGTAAAAACCGGGGATGCCTTCTTGTTGAAATACTTTCTTAATGCAGTCCACGACACCAGAGTATCGTTTCTCGGAGTGGTGACCTTGTTCTTGTAGCCTGGAGCGTACTACCTGCAAATATGTTGTTAGAATAAGTAATTATAGTGAGAGCATCTCCAATGGTGAATTGACAAAATGGCACTAAAGCCAAATTCTGGCAATGAACAATATCAAAATGCTATATTTTAGCAATGCTGCTTCAATGGTGCAAATGTTATTTTTTCCCCCAAAGAAGTCAAATTAAATTGTGGGGAGAGATTTTTTGCCAAAATTTAGCTTATTGCTGAACCTTGTGACTAGTCACTGGAGAACTCAACCTTGAGTTTCATATGGGATGATCTGTTGATATCATAGCAAGGCTAAAACTGAGGATGATCTGTTCATATCATACCTCATGTGGATATGTCAATGTTGATGCAAATATTTTGGAAACTGAGGAGGCAACAGCAACATCACTTGCACTGAGTGTATCCATTGTAGTGTTTCCTGATTTCATCAATTTTAATCAATAGATTTTTTATTTTTTTTTTAGAAGAAAGAAAGAACTCATGAATGACTAATACAAGTGAACAGCTACCACGGTTGGCCAAATAGATTTTGATTTTCTCATATGCTGGAAATTGAATGGCAACATGACTGATACCAGCCAATGCAGGCACAAGACCACTGTACACAACATAGAAAATCAGAAGCTGTCAGAATTAAAACTCACTACTAGAGATACGTTCGCTTCAAAGATATCAGCTAATTCTAATGACTAGTGATACGCAACCTGTATAATCCACGAATACCCTCTTCATGAGCAATTCTTCTCAAAGCAGACAGTGTACTCCTGTATGGCACCACACCTGTTCTCATTCCTTGAGTCTGCAAAAAATAAATAAATAAGAGACAGAAAAGTAAATGGTAAGAGATCGAACATGCAATGACAACAATACTAGATAATAGTTTATTTTTGGGAACCTACCCTTTTAGCCAAAAAGCCAAATTAGCCAAAAAGCCAATAACCTATACCAAAAAGTCAAAGATTCTCTTTTCTCTCTACTTTTTGCACATCTTTTCATAAAAAGCCAAAAAGTCATCCCAAACATACTAATTTTTTTTAACTCATATTTTAGCCAAATAGCCAAAAAGTTACTAAATTAGCCTGTTTCCTAACGAGGCCTAATACATATAAATCCCCAGAAAGTGGGAGCCTCATGCACTGGGACTCTGCCCTATTGCACTAATAACCATGGTTATTAAAATGAGTGCATTTCACCTGACCAAGATAGGAAGTAGACCTTCATGTCATCTCAACACATTGCCCCTAGCTTTTCTATGAATAAGAGATACTGACTGAATCAGCATTTGACAACATGTGATACACAGGCCTTTTCTTTTGTGTTAGGGGCTAAGTACAAAATAGGAAGTGAAAAAAAACCAAAGATTGCAGATGAGAATAAGGCCTCGTTTGGCAAGAGGCTATTTTACCCAATTAGCCAAAAAGTTACTAAATTAGCCAAAAAGCCAACAACCCATACAAAAAAGTCAAAGATTCTCTTTTCTCTCTACTTTTTGCACATCTTTTCGTAATTAGCCAAAAAGTCATCCCAAACATACAAGTTTTTTTTACCTACCTTTTTAGCCAAATAGCCAAAAAGTTACTAAATTAGCCTGTTCCCAAACGAGGCCTCAAAGTATACCTGATCCTAAAATGATAAACAAAAAAGTCCACAATATCCACAATTTAAAAATAGCTTTCTAGGGATTTTTAGGGCGGGGGCAGCAAACCTAGAGCCAATTGTAATGCAACTGAGTCACCAAGCTGCTAATGCATATCACTGGGCCAATGTGAATAAATGGACAATTCATCCTTGAGTGAGAAGTCCAGCGCACATGCCAATTGTGACACCATGTCACTCTTTTCTCCCTCCGTGGCTCAACTAAGGCAAGTAACATTACCTAGCTCCTCACAGGTCGAATGCCACTTTAGAGAGCCCCCAACCGTTCACTAATCCTACACTTCAAGATATCCCTGAGGCAACCGCCCAAATGGAAGGCTGACAACAAACACAACACCCAAGATTAGGTACTCAGAGCTCTGCCCCCAAACAAAGCAGGCACCAGGAGTCAAGGCATTCCAAGATGTTCATAGTTGGCTTTGTAGAGTTTTTTTGGAGCAGTTTAATGTATAAGTGACATAATATGTTTGGTTTCTTTTTGCACATCCTATGTATACTGGTGGCACCCCTCTTGGTGTCTTATAGTTAAATTTAATATTCCATTTACTTATTAAAGAAAAATTTTCACAAGACACCCTCAATGCTATGGCCATCCACACCCTTGATAAAGGATTTTAATTTCAAGTTATAAGCAACAAAGAATACAGTTTCTGTTGTCAACTATAAGGTCAACAAGAGCAACATGTATAATCCTACACATCTTAGAAAAAATAAAGAAAGACAGTTATGTAATAGTCGAATAGAGAGAGATCTGACTGGGGAGTGGAGAAAGAATATATGAAGTTCACTGCTTTCAATTTTATACAAAGCTATTATTAATATTATGTCCTCTAACTAGCCTCTATTTTTTCATCTTTACATTGTACACTTGAAGGATAAGAAAATTCTGAACAGATCATGATGAGGGCGCCAACTGAGACCAACCAAAAAAAAAAACAACAAAAAGAATTATGGCTTCGTGTAATATTATAATTAGGCATTCCGATGCATTTGAGTCCATTCTATTCAACTCTATCTAAAGCGAATCTCCTATGAATCCTAAGCCAATCTATTTTTTCACTATGTCCTCTCCTCATTGCTGTCTTTCCAAGTCCAATCAGATTGGCTCCCCTAGACAGGTGTTTCATTAGTCTTCACTGCATATGGCTAGGTCACACCATCTATATTAGCTCATTGTTCACCATATCTCCTTCCAATTTCTGTTTTCTTTCCAGTAAAGTTGCTATTACTTTAGGCACCAACGCATAGAATTCTAAGGTTGAGTGTCTACTTTATAGAAAGAAGAAAGTTAACAACCAATGTACAACAATGAGAAAAAATACAAAATCCATTTTGCCTTTGGCTTTCAGTGAGCAAACGATTAAGTTCCAAATCATGTTTTTGTCATGTATGTCTGGGAAAAAGGGGGGAAGAAAACGAGTTCTCTTAACTTTGTCAATAAGACATGTATACCAGGAAAAAAAACATGCCTTATCCTGCAGCAGTGTGACAAGGTTAGTCAAATACAATTCATTAAGTGACAAAGGTAGTTCTGCTGCGCTGTTTATTAACCCAATATCCTTATACTGCTTTACTAGTAGACATCGAATGACTTTTCAACAGAGACTTGAAGCGATAATGTTTTACTACCACCAGCATGCCTTACCACGTAAATTACAAATCATCTTCTTATAAAACAATACAACCCAAAAAACAAAGCATCGGCACATGAAAGTTTGACACAACACCGCCACCTCCACTCTCCAAGATTTTATTTATTTATTTTTTATTTTAAAAAATAAAAAAAAAGAACAAGAGGAAGAAGCACACCTGAAGTCTTGTCTTCACAACCCAAAGAGGGTTCGTAGCAATTGTTGTTGCAGCTCCAGCACCACAAGCAGCTACCACATTAGCACCAATTGAAAGTTGATGATTCCCATCTACACATGCATGTCAATCAAAACAACATTGAGCATAAATAAAACAACTCAGGAATTTCATTTGAAAAAAAAAAAAAACTTAATATGGTTTAATCAAGAAATAATGGAACACATTTAATCATTTAAGTTCTAAATAAAAGTTGATGATGAACTAACCATCCGAGTAAAGAAAGCTTTTGAGCTGCTCATAAATTGTAAAATAAACCTGCATAAATAATAGCGTTGGGTCATTGGAAAGATATGCTCATAACAAATAAAGTGACAAGCTAGGACATTAATAATTCCTCTATCTAAATAGACTTGTTAAGTTGTTGGATCATTTCCTCAATAAAAGTTCTGTAGAACATTAGGTTCTAAAGCATGGACATCTATTCTAGTAAATAATGCAGAACGTGTTTTGAAGTTATGTCACGTATTTTCTCATACCCAAATTTCGCCTATGCAACTGTTCAGATTTTTTTGTTTCAATTTTTGATTTCTACAGATCTATTTTTCCTTCGATCTACATACATTCAGTTTTTTTTTCCCCCCATGACAGTTACAACTGTCCTTTATACAAATGTATAGTGTGTGTGTGTAGCCTTCTAGTAATAAATAAAGGTGTTAATGATTTATCTTTTCATCAATTACCCAGGTGATTAGCTTTAACCCAATACAAAATGTTAGCTGTGCATTTTGAGTCTTTGACAGCACTTGCAACAAGTTTAGATACTTCAACAATAATTAAGCATACTCCAAGAGATATTGGGAATAATTGGTTGTCTCTCAAAACATGTTTTTGGAGAAAAAATTCCAAAAATATGTTTGGTTGAAATTTTTTAAAACAAAATTCCAAAATCACTTTTTCTCTGTACTACACATCAATCAATCATATTTTCTCTCTCCTCTCTCCTCTCTCCTCCTCAATCATTTTTTCTCTCACATCCATCTCTTCAACTACAAAAAAATATCAAATCATTCCAAACTCCAAAATTCCAAAATTATTTTCAAAATATACAGCCAAACAAAATTTTAAATTTTCTAAACTCTCCCCAGAAAATTATTTTTGAAATAATATATCAAAACACAAACCAAATACGGCATTAATTTACCCATAACAGGAAAACATTGAAGTTTTAATTATAGGCACAAAAAGGAAGTCAACGTTGCTATAATGATGTTTTTGTGAAACAAAAAGAGAATATCAACGAGAACCCAGAGTACCTGCTATGCTCGGAAAGCTTTAAAACCTTATGGAGATGTTAGTTTTACCTTCACTACTCAGATAACGATGACAAGCTTGCATATTATGGCAGATACAGAATATATAATAAAAGAAAGAAATCAAAAGCAATAGCGAGAAAAAAAAGTCTGAAGATGACTTGAACTTATGACTAAATGACGATAAAAGATCTAAGCCAGATTATTATGTGCCAACAATAAAAAGGTTTGGCATGTTTCATCCACCAGGGACCATTGAATACGAGGATGGAAACATTGTTTGTTCGGTTAAAAACTGAAAGAAGTGTATCAAAAAATTTCTCCAGAGAAATGAACCATATCACTGTTCCACAATAAAAGCTAAATCAATTGCTGACCAACAAACAAGCATTACAACCAAGCATGGATGAAACAAGAACTTATGAGAATGACTACTCACCGCCCAGTTTGGAAGCAATGCCAGCACAGTGGGTGAGAGCCCACGGTACATACCACGCAAACCCTCCTTTTGAAATATTTGTTCCAAACTCCCAACTATGACACTACCTGGTCAAATGACAAATATTAGCCTTTTGTTGAAAACTTTGCAAATGCTAACTTGCAGGCAATACATTTATTTCACCTCGCACTTTTAAAAATACTATTTGAATTTGATGTTAACCCACTTAAGGGAATCAATATCTTGCAAATAAATAATTTAACGAGACGTGCATATAGACGCTTGAAGCCCTGTTGAAATACCCTGTTATCCCAACTAACTCGGGCAACTTTATTTCAATACTAACTGGTCTTCCACAATGATTACTCTAAAGTCTAAACTATTAATGCTTCATATGAGTCCAAGTTGAATTTCAAAAGCCTTACTCTAAACTATTAAATTATTAATGCTTCATATGAGTATGAATTGTACCTTTATTAGTTCCATTACTGAGCGCTGATAGACCATGAACCTGAAACCTAGTCTTGATAACATCTAAAGGACACACAAACGTTGCTGCAATAACTCCTGCACACAGAATTCCCAATTTCAACCAAATCACTCAAAATTGCATCACAACACAATCAAAAATATCAACAAGATTGAATTTTATTTTTATTTTTTTTAAAAAGGATTGAAAATTCCCAAGTTTGGTCTAATTTTCGATTTGTTTTCTCGGAAACCAAACAGAGATAGAAAACGTACCAGCGGCGGCACCAGAAGCAGCATTGCAGAGGAGGCCTTTGGAGCTAGGGCTGTGAGTATTGGTGGCGGCCATAGCTGAATCTACGAGAATCGGGTTGAAAAGATTCGAAACAGTAGTCTCGATTGGAAGTCAACGAAAAGTCCTCTCTCGAGAGGGAGATCGCAGAGAACCAGGGTCGCATGGCAAGGCGGTAGAGAGCTTTCAGCGAAGCAATCGAATCGGCTTTGAATTCAATCAAATTAGGGTTTGGGTGGTGATTAGCTGATTGCTGGTCAAGGGGTTGTTAGGTATCGATGGGATCGAGAATCGAAATCGCCATGTAAAATGTGAGGAGGAATGAAGTTTCTTTGCTTTCGTAGGTTTCTCTCTCCTCTCTCCTATCTATCTCATCTCATCTCATCTCATCAAACCTATCGTCCGCCTCACCACTCGACGATTCGCCGCGGGTGGGACCAGCGCTCTGGTTTGCCAAAGCTTTTTTTCTTACGTCATGTTTGTCGAATTTTTATTTTTTTTTCAAACTTATTCGAATTGGGTAGACGAATCTTATGAATTTTTAAAATTTCAAAAATAAATTTAAAATTTAAACTAAGCGAAAAAAAAAGAAAAATTTATCAATAAATCCCATTTCACAAACTATTAAACCAATTAGTTCCAACTTTATTCTTTTGTTCGGATAAGTCCTATCAGTGGGGAAGTTTATTTCTTGTTAATCCTATTTTTCATATTTAGTGTAACTGTGTGGACGATTTTACCCATTATTGTTTTGTTTCCATATACTGTTGGGGCCATCAATGTGATCCCTCACTTCACCATCACTTCACCATCTCCCACATTATAACTCTTCTTCCCTTCTATCTGCAAGCTCACCCGCGCTTTTCTCTCTCTGAAATTTCGTTCCCTCCAAACCCTTCCACACAACAAAAAAGAGTAAAATCGAACTCCTTCCGACTCACCATCAACAGCGACAAAGCAACGAACACGAACGCGAAGTTCCACAACAGATCCAGAAGCACGAACGGCTTCGAGTACGCCCAATCGCTCTGCTTCTCTTCGATCTGCTCCGCCGTCGCCTCTCTTACCCTCAACTTCGGCTCGCGCATCATTCTCCGACTACCGCGGAAGCTCGGCGGGCGGCGCACGAACCGGCGGCTCAGGAAGATCTGATGGGTCAGCAATGGCGTCGCATCGATTAGCTATTGTGTGTGTGTGTGTCTGCCCCTCGTAATGTATGTGTGTATCTGTGTGTGTGTGTATTTGTATCTGTGTGTGTGTGTATGTATCTGTGTGTGTGTATCTGTGTGTGTGTATGTATCTGTGTGTGTGTGTTTGTGTATCTGTGTATTTGTGAGCAACGGTTAGATGAGGGTAATTACGTCCCTCACAATTAAATGGGACTAAACAGTTTACTAGAATAAAAATGGGACCAATTGGTTCATAAGTTTACATTTTAGGATTTATTGGTAAATCTCCCTTGATTTATTTTTATGAGGATTTTTTTTTAAAACTTTTCAGTTCATCTCTCTGAGCTAAAAACTTTTGATTTTTTTTTTTTTTTTAAAAATTTACCAACGCTATATTTGGTTTAAAAATTTGATGAGATATTTAAAAAGAAAAAAAAAATATGTATGAAATTATATAAAATATAAGTATATTTTATTCACATTTTGGTTCCGTTTGGGGACTTACCTTTTTAGTTAAAAAGTCAAAAAGTTATCCTTTTAGCAAAAAAGTCAACAACTCATACCAAAAAGTCAAAGATTTTCTTTTCTCTCTACTTTTTGCACATCTTTTCGTAATTAGCCAAAAAGTCATCCCAAACATATAAAAAAAATTTACCTACTTTTTTAGCCAAAGAGTCAAAAATTTACTAAATTAGCATGTTCCCAAACGAGGCCTTTATCTTTGTTTTTCTTTCTTTTTTCAAATTTCTCTTCAAATCCTTCAACTAAACACAACGTAAAGATGAAAATAAACCAACAAAATATCAAAAAAATAAACCTTGAATAAATATTTTAATTAAAGGGAAATTTTTTTAAAGGTCCGTAGTATTAAGATTTTAAAAATCTTGATACAATATTTTCATCCTAATTAAGATCTCTTAATATTTATACGTAGAAGATTCGATTCAAATAAATTTTGTATGACTCAAAGAAATTTTGTCCCAACTCAGAAAAATTTTAATTTTTACTTAGAAATTTTGAAATTTCTATCGAAATTTCTCTTAGTTAGGCAAAATTTCTCTGAGTCAAATTTTATCTGTAAAATTATTGAGGGACCTTAGCTAATAAAAAAATATTTTGGACTTCTCCTACTACACAAAGTTTGAGAGCTATGTTTTAGGCCAAGTTTGGCGCCTTTAATAAAAGCCAAAAAGTCAAAAAGTCACTATCCTATTTAAGTCACATCATCTTATTTAAGTCACATCACCTCTCTACCACACCACTTCAAACCTAACCCATATTTCATAAAAAGTCAAAAAATGCACTTATTTAGAATATCCCAAACAGCCCCTTACTAATTTTTCCATAATTAAAAACTTATTATAAATTGTCAAATTATTCCCTTCATTTTTTATATCTTTTTATTAAAAAATATTTAAAAATTATTAAAAAGTCAATTATCAAACGAGATGTTAAACAAACAAAAAAATAAAAAGTTTATTATTAATTGAAATATGTCAAATAAATTTTTTTTTTTAAATTAAGGGGCTGTTTTTTTTAAAATAAAAAATGTGCAATTTTTGTTTACAATTAAGGCCTCGTTTGGGAATAGGTTTTGTAATTTTTTAAATTTTTTTTGCTAAAATATACAAAAACTTATATGTTTAGAATGAATTTTTTATTTTTTACGAAAAGATGTGTAAAAAGTAGAGAGAAAATAAAATTTTTGACTTTTTTTGTATAAGTTATAGGCTCTTTGATTTTTTTTGGTAACTTTTTGATTTTTAGACTAGACTATTACTTATCAAATGAGGCCTAAGTATAAATAATTTAATTGTGCTAAAAATAATAATTGTTTATAAATAGGTGAGAATTATTTTAGCATTTTGATGCAACTTATTATAAGTAAAAAATTGATAAACGCAAAGTATGAACTAAAAATGCTCATCTCTTCGGAGTTTTTTTTTTTAATATTCCAAAAAAGAAAAAAATTAATTAGAGAATTGACCTACTTTTCAAACTATTCAGGGCAAATTACACAAATAGTCCCTCTAGTTTGGGACTCGTGTCACTTTAGTCCCTGATTTTTTAATTGTAACACATTTGACCCTAAATTTAAAATCTTGTTTCAAATAAGGACAATTGAAGATACCATTGTTTAATTTTAAGGGCAAAATCTTCAATTTAATAAATATAAGTTAATTTGACAAAAATAAATGTCAAAAAAATATTTTTAATTTTTTAATAATTATTTTTATCCACCAATGATAAAATTATGTAAAATTGATAAAAATTAATAAAAATTACATGATTAATTTTTTAGATCATCATCCAAACACATAATAAAAATTAATTTGGTGAAAAAATAAATAAATGTCTAAAAGATTTATCAATTTTACATAATTTTATTTTTAGTGGGTAGAAATAATTTTTAAAAATTAAAAAATATTTGTTTGATATTTATTTTTGTCAAATTAGTTTATATTTTATCAAATTGACGATTTTACCCTTGAAAAATTTAATGATATCTTCAATTGTCCTTATTTGAAACAAGATTCAAAACTCAGGGTCAAATGTGTCACGATTGAAAAGCCAGGGACCAAAATGAAATAAGTCCCAAACTATAGGGACTATTAGTGTAATTCACCCAACTATTTAAGAAATTAACCTACTTTTTGAAATTACATTTTCAAAAAGCGATTTTGAAATTGAAATTGCATCTTCAACATGCAATTTCACTTTAAAATCGCAAGTTGAAAATGTAATTTATGATGACATGATGAAATTGCATGTTCAACATACAATTTCAATTGAAATCGCAATTTCAACATGCGATTTCAAAGTGAAATTGCATGTTGAAAATGCAATTTCAAAAACAGGTTAGTTTTTTAAATAGTTTAAAAAGTGGGTCAATTCTCTAATTTGTTTTTTTTTAAAGAATATTTCAAAAAAAAACTCCATCTCTCTGCTTTTAAATAATCATCTTATTTAATTTATATTTACTAATGTCTCGTTTGAAAATAAGTTATTTTAGTAATTTTTTGAATTTTTATTAAAAGATATGAAAAAAATATGACAACTTATAGTGACTTTTTAACTAAAATATGTAATTGCCAAATAAGACCTTAATATATTATAAATAAAAATTATAATCTAACACATAACTTTAAATTAAAACAAATTATAAACAACTCTTTTTAAATTGCATTAAACAATCTAAGGGGTGGTTTTAGAATTAACTTTTTTTTAATAATTTTTAATTTTTATGAAAAATATAAAAAATAAAAAATAAAGAAAAATAAATTGATTTTTAAAATTTTTGAGCTAAAATCTTATGTTGCGGCGTAATTGTCAAGCACACCAGACTAGAAGTAGTTGATTCCAAACAAGATCTAAAGCACGTGACGAGTATCTCGTACGTCAAGCATGCCCCTAGTCTCTCAAGAAAATATTAATATATATTAAAAAAAAGGATAAATTACATTGACACCCCTTAAGTTTGGTTAAATTACATTGCACCCTTTGATGTTTTAAAAATTATATTATCACCCGTGTAATTAATAGTTTCATTTCACAAACCCTGCTTATATAAAAGATAACAACTTATAGCAGAAAAATATAAAAAATTACATTAAAAATCAAAAAGTAAAGCAAAAGAAAAGAGAAAAAAAAAACAAAAACAAAGGAAAGTGATATGTATTAAATCCAAACTTTAGTAAGTGTAAGTGTAATTTACCCTACAAAAAAATAAAATCTTGTGCATTTTCTAATAATACAACAGACTTAATCCGAATAACTTTAGGATAATTCACAAAAGTTTTAAGACTTGACAATATATTTTAAAAATTAGCGCAAGTTTTGACAAAAATTTAAAAGTACAAATTAAATTGAGGCCGACTTAGACAAAGATATCAAATAATCTAAAACTCATATGGTATACATATAAAATTTCTTTAAAACATGATATCAAATAATCTAAAACTCAAAAGTTTTCAAACATCAACAATTATGATTTTCTAATTAATAAAATTAATTATGACATATCAGAACAATTAAAAGATTTTTTTAAAGTTTGACATGTCATCATATTATTGGATAATTTTCATTTTCAGTCATCAACAATTTTAGTTTCTAATTAACAAATTAATGACAATTCATAGGTGGGAAAATGTCATTCAAATAATTCACTGTGAACAATAATTTCAAGGGCAAATTAGGCTGCATAAATCTTTATGAGTAAAAATTCAGACTCAAAT